ATAATAATTATTTTAATAAATTTAAAATAAAAAATAATTATTATTTTTAGACCCAAAAAAATCTTAAACTAATACTTCATAAAATTTAACATTTTTTCGTATGTGTTACTAACTTCATATAGAGATAGAAGTGACAATTATTTGTGATTCATTTTTTCAAATTAATTTTTTATAGTGAATAAGCGTAGATGTTTTATTTTATTATAACACAATAAAGTAAAACAGATATATATATATATTTTAAGAGAAAAGAAGTGTGAACTAGTCAAAAATTTGATTCATATGTAAAAGGTTAATATAATATACTATTGTTTGACCAATTTAATCGTTTTGTGCCAAATTATTGAAGCAATGCTGATCTCATCAGAGTGTCATGCTCCCCTTATTCAGATATTATAATGGGCACTTTTTTTTTTTTTTTTAACAAGTATAAATTTAAAAAGTGAGATTTAAACTATTACTCAAGGTTAAAATGCATTTTTTTTTATAAAGATTTATAATTAATTGGGGGCATTCGGCCAAGTGCTATAATTAGCACTTTTACCAATTATCAACTAACGGTTTAAATCTAATTGTATTAGATAATTTAGAATTAAAGTCACTAATTCATACACACGATAATTCACCTCTTATTCTTTGCCCAAATAGCCAGAAATCAGCTTTGGAGAAATGTTATCATTGATCATTTACCGAAAAGAAAAATCTCATGTTTCCTTGAACTCAAAGCAAAAGAGATACCACATTTCTTGGAAAAAAGGTCGGTGATAACTCTAATGTAAAGGGGGAAAGCAAAAAAGAGTATCAATTATCACCAACTTTATTGGTTTTTTCCTCTTCATACCATGGTTCACACTTCCTTGGATACTATTAGATTTTACTCAAAGAGCGGCTCCAAAAGGGGCCAAAACCCATCAAGTGGTAGATCCCTAATCTTTCTGCCTTTTGCAGCAAAGAAAAAGGAAAGGCATCAATTCCGCAAGTGGAAATGATGGCAATACAACGCAGATTAATTGCAAGAACAAACTGAGCATTTTCTTTGAGTCTGACCCCCCAACCTGCTCTAGTGCTCTGCCACCACTATCCACACGAACCTACCCTGTAAATTTTTTTTTTTTTTTTTATTTTCTCTCTACATGTTCTGAAGAACATTTGATATTTGATATAACGATGTAGTATAATGGGGTTAAATTGAGTGCACTAAACTAAGTTTATCTTTCTAATCATAAACATGCATAACTAGAGAGTTCATTAGTAAAGAGTTGCTTCTTGTGATATTTTTAAGAATTAAAATCGAACATGATTAAAATGAGAAGCAAATCACCTCATCAACCAAGTCAACCTCTTGGGTTTATAAGTTGCATCGATTGGGTTGTGAGGCATTTATTGAGTGGATAGAATCATATGTTTTACATAGCTGATGGTGATCTCTTTGTACATGACAATTGACATAGCTTTAGGGCTATATTTAGTTTGGCCAAACACTGACATTCCTTCTTTCCATTCATTTTCCTTCTAGTTAGGCATTGGAACGGGACAAGAAAAATCCATTTAGATTATTGCATAAAGTTACTGAAAATGGTTAGGAATGGCAAAAAATCAATGACCACAACGATATTGTGGGTCTTCAATTTCTTAGCAATTCATAGTTTTTCTTCAAGAGAAAACAGAACAGACAGTGGAAATTAAAATGGGTTTGGCACATGGAACATGTAACTGATAAAAATACTAAAATAAATAGACCTTTAGTATCCCCTTACCACACCTTTCATCATCAATCAGAGTCTTTCCTTTATGGTGGGGAGGAGTGGTGCCTCACTAGAGAAAATTGGAGAAGTCCACCACAAATGTGGGCGTTTGCCAAGTGTGTCAGAATCAACAGAATTGATTGGTCCTCCATCATCAGAGAGCATGGTTCACCTTTCATGTTCACACTTCACAGACAAGATCATAAGAGAAGTCTGAACCGTTGAACTTGAAACCCAGCAACTTGCAAATTGCATCCCCATTGGTAGTAATTTCTTGGACTTTTTGATGGACTGGAGGCCTCTTCTTAAAACCAAGTAAAAAGAATCATATCAACAAAGCAATAATTATATTCTTCTTTCCATTTGCAAAGGTAAAAGGCTGGTTATAGAAACATGATTCTCTGAACAGGATTGACAACAAAACCAGCTGTGTGAACGAGAAAATTCTCTTGTATCATGGTTTACACAACGTCCATATGTAACAACCAAGTCTCTGTCTAATTTTTGTTTTTATACCAAAATCTTAATTCATATATATTATATAATTGTACCATTTTAAAGAATAAAGGAAAACAGAAGGGAATAGCAATTTGATTTTTTTTTTTTTTTTTAAAAAAAAAACCCTGAAAGAGGAAAATGCAATCATGCTGAAAATTCTCTAGCAACAAACAAGACGGAATCACCTACCAATACCAGTAATTATAGTGACTGATAATTTACAAAGAAGCAAGAACCTAAAATGGTCCACAGCGAAAATTGAGCACCTAAGCATATAAAATCAAATCCTCAAAACATCAATCTACTGTATCCTCTCCAATCCATATCTCCAGAAATGTACATTTAAAAATGATGAAAAAGAGAAGCATGAAAAATCGAATTTAGAATGCAAACTCTAATGTAGTTGCTTCTGTTAGACAATGAGCCTAGCTCTGCCGTGAATTTAAACCCCGAAAGCTCTTCACCTGGTTTTGGTGCCATCAAAACTAGGCAACTGGGTTAACTGCTCAAAGTAGGTGTTCATGAAACCTTACAGGTGTCCAAATATCACTTCTACATTAACTTTAACTAGACCATAACGAGCTGAGCCTCGATGCAAGTTTTGCGCTCTTGTAGTCATCTCTAAGCTGAATAAATCTGTAATTGGCACCGTATCAAAATAAGCAACCTCTAGGGGCCAAAACCGATCAGAAAAAAGGCATCCAGAGGCATACATCTACTTTGATTTTGAAAAAAAAAAAAAAAACCTCTTGTGTTTTCAATCTTTAAACAAAGCTCGAAACATTAGTAGTACCTCTGTGCATCTCTCCGGATGCTGGGGGTGCCTTCAAACAACGTTGAGAGGCTTTCCGGTGCAACAATAAATACGTTGGCCAGGCTGGAGAACAACAGTTAAGCAGTAAATTTCAGATGTAAATGGGAAATAGATGAATCTTACACAACTTACATGCCAAGTTGTTCAAATTTCTCATCGACAGAAGGGGCATTAAAACTGCGAACAAATTCTCCATACTCAGTTATGTCACGCTTCAGGCGTAGTCCTCCACTGTACAAGGGTAAATCAGAAGACAAAATGAAAATTATGAGAGTAAACTGGCATGTAGTACTGCTTGATCTGACATATCTCTCTGTGATGAAAGAAAATGACATAAAAAGGACATTATAAACTTCCTGGCAGGCACGAACTTCTGCCAGGCTTGCATGACATTACCTACTCCAATCATCAAAACCATCAGAAAACAACTGTAGCCGCAAATACTAGTTTTCTGTCACTGAATATACAATAAATTTTAATACACAATTGAAAGATTTAGACAAAGTTGAATTACCTAGGATTAAAAGTGAACTTTTGCCAATGGTTAATCAGCCCTTTGTGTAAGCGATTTCCCTGAAATAATAATAATAATAATAAAAACAATTTTATCTCACAAATGGGAATATCACCTAAAATACCTTAAGTGGTTATTGGCTCTCTATTAATACAATCTAATTATGTATATACAAATCTAAATGGTATATTCATCTCCTAATATATGAACAGCAAGAACTAACATCCTCCTCAGCATGGATGGAACTCATAGGGAAGAAAATAGATTTATTTTTGAAAACAAACATTCAGTATTTGCAGACATAACTATTTCTTTGTTGGTAGAAAACCTTTGTTGACAAAATATTTTACCAGTTCTGTCAGGAATGCTTGTTTGTTGAGACCCTCTAGTGCAGTGAATGCAGCATCTAGCACACGAGAAAGATAAGCAACAACTCTGGACAAGGGAAGAATAGAGGAAATCAAACTTTGATTGTGGTTTAATGCAGCATTGATCAGAAGATTATGATATCCAGAAACAATAATAGAAATAATTTACTGTTTGATTAATTATTGGCAACTGATACATCACAAGCTTTAATCTACAACAGGGGTTAATAAGAAAATATAATAAAGAACACAGGATCTTTCAGCACTTCATAATGAATTGACCTCACATAAATGGATTTTCCAACAAGTGTTAGAGATCGACTCCATACTTTAAGAAACAGATTTTAAGTTGTCTAGCTGACCAAACCTTGTGCAGGCAGTTGTTGGACGATGATCAGGAACAATTCCATCATCAGGTGACCTGTAATCTGTTGCCTTCTGTTCAGCTGACAGTAGCCGTTCTACCTACAAAGGAGCACCAGCAGGGCAAATTTATTGATATAAACAAAAAGGCAAAGATCTGAAAAAGGTTCCTCCATGAAAAGGCACTTCTACTTGATCACAAAGAGAGGTACAAAGGACGAAAAAAAAATCATGATTTTGACCTCGGGCTATTGCCATTGTCCACGAGAAACTAGATGCTAAACCGAATATGGAAGTAAATAGCTGACCTCAGCCATCACAGTTTCAATGCATTGTTGAAGCCCTTTATATGCAGCTGACTCTGCACTCCTCATTGCAGTTGCCATTTCTTCACATGAAGCAGCATGAGCACCATCAACAGGTAGTAAGAGCCTAGATATGGAATTTGCGAAGTACTGCATATAAAAGTTAGATCGTTGTTAATTTATAAACAACAATCTTTTCTCTGTCAGTTAATCCAATTACAATTAAGTGATACCCAAATTTTTTATAGAAAAAAAGAGACAAAAAAAGGAAAACATACTTGCTGCACTATAGCCACACTACTGCCACAGCGTTGTACAGCAACCATGAAAGATCTGAAACTGCTTTCACCAGCAGCAGCAGCAGCTTCCGCCTACACATAAATGATTCTCCCTTGTGTCAATTATTTTCACCAAAACATATTTTCCATTATGCAAAGAATAGAAAAGGATCAGGTAATTATTACAGCAGAAGCAGCTGCAGCAGCAACTCTTCGAGAAAGGTTAGTGCCCAGCACAAACCTTTCCCTCAAGGCTGCAGCTTCTGTCAGGCTATCTCGAGCTCTTTCAAGCCCATCAGTTATATATTGGCTGACCTGCGAAATGAAATTATCCAATTTAATATGTAGAAGAATTCAGAAAATCAGTTGATATAATTAACCTACTTAACCAACTTACTTGGTCTAGGAGGCAATTGAACACTGCTTTTACATTGGCTGCAAGGGTTGCAGGCTGTGAAGAATTACAGATCAGTTAGATATATATGGTAGAAGAATACTGTAAATTTGGAGGAAAATTTAAATGATAGTTCACACCATACTTTTTACCTCTCAGGACCAAATTCTAAGGTTTCCACCGCTATAAAGCTTTACTCTAGAATTTTTTTAGCGTAAAACCTAAATATCTTCAGTTTCTTTTTCTATGTTCACCAACAACCTGTTTTGCAAAGCATTTTAAATTATCCTGCTTTAATACTAGCCATCTGCATCATGGTGTTGGTTAAAGCCTTTGATTACACTACAACAACAAAAATCCTAATACATTTTAACGAAATCCTGCAACTTCTTATCCCTCTCCCCCCCCCAAAAAAAAAGAACATATCCTAGAGAGAGCTTTATCTAAGGGCTCATCTGTAGAATGTCAACCTCTAAATTGAATAGTTCACATGAACACCATAGAGCCTAAAAGAAAGATTAATTGTCCAAGCAATTTACTCAGAATCTCAAATTCCACAAACATTACACCTAAGTCTCATAAACAGAGCAGAGCATCAACTGGAGGAAGAAATTACTTGAGATGAAAACAAAGTGCATCTAGATATAGCTTCTTCATTCCAGCGAACAAACTCTGTAACAACTGTCACAGATATCTGCTGAGGGGAAGATGCTACTGAAGCACCTTTAGAGCGCCCAATTGTCCCAGATGACTCAGAAAGCTGCTGGTTTTCAGCTCGTAGTTCTTCCATCTGTGTAGCATAAATATGTTAAAGATTAAGAAATGAAGAAAACTAAGACTTAGAAAATCGAAGAAAAATGAAGGTGCAAACCTTTGCTTGATATAGTTGTCTAAGTGAGGCCCGCTCATGTTCAGGATATTCATCCTTGTGAGTAGAAAAGAGAGACTCTGAAAGGCCTGAAGCAACAGAGAAATTTGTTACTAAGGCAATTAGTAAAACATTAAAAATTCTCAAATAGTCTGAAATGTTCAAATATTTATCAAGGGTTATTTTTGTATCTGTCAGAAATTGAAGACAGGCGTAACTTAATTCGCTACCACAGGACCAGTAGAATGTGTCTCAATTAACAAAACTATTCAATATTAAGAAAACATGTCCCACGTGCTGCAGAGGAATCTTCAATGGTGTTGACTACCATAGAGATGGTCCCTTTCCATTCATTGATTATATCTAGGAAAAAATTTGCAAAAAGGTAATTTCACAAGGGAAATTACTTTTTAGCTCCATTACCTTCAACATCCAAATCACCACACCCAACAGCTCGTAGGTCTCTAGCAAGTTCCTGTGTCTTCTCATATGCCACGGCCAGCATTCTTAGATACTGAAATCTCAAGTTAAGCATATGAAGTCAATAATTGTCACCTGAAATTCCCATTTTGACTAGGAAAAAACACTATACATTTTTTACAGCACTCACTAATAAAAGTCCACCTTCCTCCAAGGGAGGTGGATTCAGGAGAGATGGCTTCACTAGTAATTTGTCCAGAAGGGCTGTAATTCGCTGCTCTAAAACTCGCTGCACATAACATAGGAGAAATATGCTTAGTCATCAAATTGATGAATATGTTGGCAGTACAATGAAGTAAATGAAACATCAATAACATGGAAAAAGTGCGCCTGTTTTCCAGGTACCTGAACTAAAATTGACATAACATCATTAGGAGAAGGAAATACAGCCATAATTGTAGCTGCTTCTTTGCGTACAGTATCTACAGGACAAATAAAAACGATGGAATTTAATCAATTGACTGAATATCATATCTGTTTTGGGTAGCTCAACTCCCTGCCTTAACATCAAACTCTATCCTTCAAACCTGTGATTTCTTTGTACAGGGAAGAAAGTCCACGTGCAACATTGTTGGGACTAGCTTGTGAACCCTGGTCTCCAAGAACCAATCTGGTGTCTGCATTCATGATTTCCACATCAATGAACATTGGACGGGTTGCCACATAATGTTGCATGGCACTTGTGCCCCTGTTAAACTACATGAGCAAAAATAGAAATGTCCTTCAGAAGACTAAACGATATTCTGCAACAAAGAAGCAGATACATTGGGATAACAGAACGTCCTATTTCAATTAATCAACTAGCTATGGCAATACATGTAACAATAATTTTTGAAGGAGAGAAGGAATCCCATATAAATAACCTCACCATGCACACTCAAAGATAAAAAGGAAACTGAAAGTACCGAGCAGCTTCCTAAAGCAATAGGTTTTTGCAGACATTTTGTTAGTCAATTTTCAATACCATGGTCAGACCCCGGCTTCAACACATGCTCAAATTTGACATTTTTTTTTATCACATTAAAAGTATAAAGAACCACCATCACCACTGAGAGAAAGAGAGAGAGGGGGGCAAAAATACCAATAAAAAAAGGAGATAAAATCTAAAGGTTCACAGCTTTCAAGAGAAAATCAATAAATACAATCACCATTCCATAGCTAAACATAGCAAAAGAATATTCAGACCATTATCAACTGATACATAAAAAAATTATAGAAAATAAAAAATGATCAACAAAAGTAAGAGAGGGAGTGAGAGAGTGGAGCAAACAAAAGACAATCAAAATTAGCACAGCCACCAGTGATGGTCAACAATGCAATTCTGAGAATAACTACCTGAGATAGAATTTTAGCACATTCTGCCATGGTAGACAATTCTCTTCTCTGAGATGCAGCATCAAATCGAGATAACAGTCTATTCTCCAGTTCTACATGCACAAGAAAAGGGAAAGAAACAAGAGGGAAAAAAAAATTAATGTCTACTGGAAAGAATAGATCTTAAAAATTCAAAAAGCTTTTGCTAGGAAAAAGAGAAGAAGAAAAGAAAAAAAACTAAAAGTTGCCATTGTTTCATGCTTTTCATGCATGACACAGGCCACCTGCCAGAATCATTAGAAATTATAGTACCATTGCAGTATTCCTGAAGATTAGCAACTGCAACTTCTAATCCTCGGCTGGCAGTTGCATTTCCCATGACAGATGGTACAGCTATGCCTTGTCTTCCAATATCTTCTTCAGCAAATGATCCTGAAATCAACATAAACAGCAGGAAAGATAAAATTTATCCATGTAGATGGAAAAGGAATAAAACTTAAAAGCAGAGTAGACATTATTGACATGGAAGCAAATTTGCCATACAAAGATATCCCACAACTTCATTTTCTATAAGTGGAGCAATATTACATAAAAATTTCCTCTCTCACACATAAATAACTCTACTAGTTCTCAAAAATGTAGAATTGTGAGTAGGTAATGCCATCTTACGCAATTTCTGTGCAATTGAAGCTGCTTCAGCAACACGGCTGTCATCAGAAAATAGAGATGAAAGCTCCATTAAGTCACCTGGGCTGCTATTAAATTCCATCAAGTACTGCAAGGATTATTGGCAAGGTGTTAAAAGAAGGTAAATGAGGGAATGCATAATAAGTATACCAATTTACAGTACCTTTATGAGTTCTATTGTTTGACTAGCAGTTTCCCTCTGAGCATCTGCACTCTGAAAAGAAAAATCCATATAAGAATGAAATATAAAATGTTAGTAGCAATTATATCACGAAGTAACATAATTAAGCTCAATTGAGAAGTATCAATCAAAATATAGGGAAATTCTTACTTGCAAATGATCTCCTATTTTTGCTGCAGTCTGTCCAACACTTGAAATCCGTGAATCCAACCTTGCAAAGCTGTCAAATAAGCCATCTACACCTTTTTCCAGCTGAAAATTTAAGATTAACAAGTAAGCCAATAATCAATGTTTCGACTTAATTACAGATCAAAACAGGATCAGATCCATCTAAAATTATAACCTAAAATGCCCTTTCAAATAATTTAAATCTAATATTTGACAAGAAGCCATGATATTATAATGTCACAGGAATTGAAGTACAGTTGTTAAGTCAGTTTGTCAGGAAACAAAAGTGACACCTAGATTTCAATCTCCAAAAATTGTTTTCCAATAGGCCTTGCTAAAGAAGACTGATATAAACTCTCAATGGTCAAAAGTCAATGTCAATGACTATCAGCTTTAAAATTTATTAACTAAAGCAATGGATTTAAAGTAATCCTACAGATAAAGAAATTTGTTTTAACATGGAGGTGTTGAAGAACAGCTTTCTTGTTTCTTTGGCACATTCCTTAAAAAATTTCAGTAGTAAGATATGAAGGTCCTCCATTGACTAACCTCAGCAAGTGTCTTGCGATGCTTAGCATCTTGAACAGATACCTCCTTCTTTAGATTGTAAAGTTTTGAATCAATCTTCAACCCAAAATGGAGTAAGAAGAGAGAGAAAGAGAGAGAAAATTAGAATGAATGATGGGTTGATTTGTCAAATTGATCACCAACAATCACAAAACAAACCTGTTTTCGAAGATCAACCAACTCCCTAAAAGAATCCTTGAACAGAGATAATAGGGCATCTACTTCTGGAAATAAAGGGGAGGAGAGTCCTTGTGACAATTTTGATACATCAGATGGAGCACGCATATGCCCATTTGGCAAAAGATCATTGCCACTTATGTTGCCATGTACATCTGATGAATCTGCCTCTTCTTCTTGAAATGATGGCAGGAGACCGTTTACCAAGTTCCCGAATAATGCATCAAATGAAAAGTCACCCTACCAATTTACACATCAATCTAAATTTATCCACACATACATTGACCAAAAATAATCTAAATCAAACAATATTTAAACTAAAAATACCATAAACATATGGAACCAAAAAGTATAAAACAATGTTGTTCAAGTCTCTACCTTAAAGTCTTCAACGTCCAGGATGAGCGGAATGGAGTTAGCAGTGGCAGATTTTGTAACTCTTTCAGACCCGCTTCCATCTCTACTGTCTTTCATCTTTTTCCACAAAATAATTCAAAAGAACATTACAATATAAACATCCTTGTGTTTATTGTTTACAAACTTTCGTAATACCACAGTTACTGATACAACGATAATGACAACAGAACTACAGAACTGCCTACTTGAGTCTATCAACTAAAAAAAAATTGACCGATCAACAGTAAACATAAACATTACTATTGTGCCAAGCAATTAGTTGAATCTATAATTTGAAATTCCTTAGAAGATCTCAAACAAGATCGAAACACGACTTTCCATCTTTTTCTTCCGTTTTTCAAGCCAATTAAATACACATCTGATAATTTGAATTGAAACTCGCAGCTAAGCAAGTAATTCACTCAGTTCACATCTAGTACTGATCAATGAAAGTGATTGAAATTCAAATAGAAAGTTCAGCTCTAACATTCTTCACCGAAAATGTTACAATTTACTGGAATTGCTCGAAAGGAAACGTAATTCGACTACATATGTTTGACATGAAGGAGACAAATCTGACTATCTCGGAATATAACGAGCATAAAACGACTTTCGAAATTAATTTTCCGCCGATCTCACGAATCATAGCGTTGACATATGAGAAAGAAGAGGAAATATTACCTCTGTGTAGGTCGAATGAGCGACGCAGAGAGCGGCGGAGAGCAACCGTGGTGATCGCCGGAGAGTTTGCCTTCAGCCTGTTTCTTCGGTTGGGCAGATCGAGCGAGGTGGAAGAAGAGAAAATGGGAGAGATAAATACAGACTATCCTTAATACGGAAAGTTCGATGAAATAATTCTGCTGTTTCATATTAATTGACGATTTTAACCTTACAGTGTGCAGTAAATGAACGGAGGGGGTTAAGGTATTTTGGGAAATTAGAATACAAATAGGCTGGGTGGCTTGTACCTTGTTCTCCCAGGTATTTTTCTTTCATCCGCTAAAGAAAATTACTTTTTTTTTTTTAGGGTTTTTCTTGTTTGTGACATTAATAGATGTTGAAATTGAAAATTCAAAATCTGATGTTAATTTTACTGAGTGAACTATTTTTATTAAATTATTGATTAAATAAATGTTAAATTTTATTTTTTTAAATATTAATTAATACAAATAAATATTATAATTAAATATCTGGAGTTTTTTTTAGTAATAATTACATATCTAAATTTACAAGTTAAAAAAAACTCTTCTTTTCTATTTTGTGTTAAGGATATAATAGAAAATAATATTATTTTAAAACATCATGATCCTTTTACTCATTTTCTTTTTAATAAGGAGAATTTTTAAGAAAGAAAAAGATATTACAAACAAGGACCCTTTTTTCTAACTTTCTTCCTATTGTAATTTGAGGGAGTGAGGAGTGATAAGGGATATAAAAGGAATTACATCTCCTCCTTCCTATAGTTTAATTAAATTAAAATATAAATAAAATTAAAGTGCAATAAAAGAAATTGTTTCTCTTTTTGTCAATTTTTTGTTATTTAGATAAAGAAATTCTTTTTTTTTTCCTCTCAAATCCAACATGCTATTAGAATATAGATGACCTTACTATAACTCTATACTCAAAGCTCACCACATCTTTAACTTAGGACATAAACCACTAGCCCACAAGGCTTGACTCAAGGTTTTGCTTATTTTGATCTTCGTTTGCTTTCAATTGCTTTATGTGTTTGTATATAGTTTTTTTAATTCCTTGAGTATACCATGTAGAGGTGGACTGGAGATGGCTTTAAAAGCATCTTAAGAGGAATCAGTTTTGGAAATGCAAAAACATTCTACATATTATATGTGGGGAAAAAAATATGTATCTATATATTATTGGCAAATGAAAACTTTATTTCATCTAATTTTACAAATAAAGCGTTTAAATAGTTAACAAGAACACAATTATTAATCATTGAATGTGATAGATGTGTAAGTATGATTTGATATATAATTGTCATAATCAATTATTATTAACAACTTAAAATTAACCTTTAGAGGATTATGTATTTTGACCTAAAAAGTTGCTAAACTAGTAAAAGATTTTAATTCACATTTAGTTGATATGTAATACTTTGAGATAAATCCAATATCGATAAAAAAAATGAAATATATTGGATATATAAGTTAGCATCTATTAATCCTTATTAATATGTTTTGAAAATATGAGATTCATTAGGTTAAAGTAAATAATATCAGTAGTACGCTGAATTATTACATATTGTATTAGAATCACTAATTGTGAAATGCAATGATCACTAAAGGAATTTAATTATTTATCATATAAACCATTGTGCATTCATTTTCTTAATTTCTTTTTTAGTATATTAAATGATTATTTGCTTGGTGTAATAGAAGTTTAAATCCTTGACTTTAATCATAACTTAAAGTTTTTTAGGTTAATCGATATCAACTCAATCAATCTTTTGTTGCTTTATTTTCTTAATTTATTGTAGAGTTAAAAACTTATTGATCTAATATATTTTTTTATAAATAACTTAAAAAATTTTAGACTTTTATTTTTTTAAATATTAATTAATACAAATAAATATTATAATTAAATATCTGGAGTTTTTTTTAGTAATAATTACATATCTAAATTTACAAGT